TTTAAGTATTTGAAATAATCATGTGCAAGTGCCCATATGTTGACATAGATTTTACATGGATGTTAAAGGTCTGTGTATTCTGATTGTGCGAAGTCAGCTTCAGCGTTGATAAGATTCAGGCATTTCTCCTGAAATGTTGTGTTTATTTTAGTGTCATACCTTAAGAGGTAAGCAAATTTAAAATTCTTGCTCTAAATTAAAAGGGTCTTAGCTTAAATGAGCAGCTCCTCTATAGTAAAATGTTTTTCACAGTGATTTTGTTAAATTTTAGTTATATTAAGCAAGAGAATCTCATTTTATGTAGTTGCTCCTCTCAAAGCTCTTCAGATCTTTTCATTGTTGTTGCAAAATCACAAATAGGATAAGACCAGTTAGCCTACTGCTTAATCCTTCTCATAAGTCTTTTTCTTCTGCAGTGTTTCTGGAGAATGAAATGTTAACTTATTGTCTTCTCTTAAACTGCTCTAGGTATCAAACTGGTTTGGAAATAAGCGAATCCGGTACAAGAAGAACATAGGTAAATTTCAAGAGGAAGCCAATATTTATGCTGCCAAAACGGCTGTCACTGCTACCAATGTGTCAGCCCATGGAAGCCAAGCTAACTCACCCTCAACTCCCAACTCAGCTGGTTAGTTTTTTCTTTCATTTGGGGGGATTGTTCTTCATTTTTATACTTGCTTTTCCTACATCGGATTTTTCTTTTAATTCATTAGGTTTTTGATTAGTTGATTTATGTATTCAATTATCTTTTTTGTTGTTGATGCCACTTTGGATTTTCTCTTTCTTTTCCAAAGAGCATTGTATTATATACTCTTTACAAGATGGGGCTGTCTGGAGGTTTGCATTCATGTGTCTATTTAAGGTGAGACAGAAGTAAATTCGTTGGTTTTGATGAGACATCTAAATTCTTCTTTCAGAGACTTTAATAAATAAGTTAATACTTAGAGATAGTCCCTGGGGGTTCTATCATGTGGTCTGTTTTATATAAAGTTTTTATCTTTGACTATTTTGCTGTTTCTACCACAAAATGTCTGGGTCACCTAAATAACATGCATTGTATGCAAGAATATCCACTCTTCTAGCAAATATCTCATTAGAAAGTTCTGGTCTGCAAAGCCAGGCTATGATTATTTCTACATATTGTTTATAGTTGTTGTTCTTTATTGTTTTATTTTGTTGGTTTTCTGTATGTAAACTACAAAAAAATTGCCATTAATTTAAATTATCCAGATTCTAGTCTTTATGTTATAATATTAGTAATGTGCTATGTTCTAGGTTTTATTTTGGTGCATATGCACTGTATCACTGATTTCAGAGTTTAGGCTAGCATAATGTAATTTGGGGTATACCTTGTGCCATCAGTCATCAGTTCTGAATTTCCACATGTGAAAAACATATTCAATAATGCATAAAATATGACTTTACTGTTCATATGCTATGGAAAGCTTTTTGGTATTTTTTATAAGGGAAAACCATAAGTATTTCCTTATTAACTAAGTTTGGCATTAGATTATGGTATTTCCCCATAATGAACATGATGCATTGATTTGGGCTGTAGGTACACATCTAAGAAAATTGATGACTCCAAATTTAAAGGGTCACAAATTTAAATATGTTTGATCATGATGTGGTTAAAAATCTAATGTCTAACGATTCCTAGAGTATGTGGCATCTTTGACCCCAAAGCTTGTTTATCCAGTAATATAAGTTCTCTTTCTACCTTATGGTGGCTTGTTATTGGAGAGATGTAGTGCTTTACACACTAACGTCTTCTGTGGGTTTCTAGATGTGCTAATTTGTATCATAAGGTCCTCCAAGTCACTGGGCTGTACCATCATAACCTTCTTTTGTTTAAATGGAATTATGCATGAAGAGTGGCCTGGGCTTTGTAAACGTGGATATGGTAAGACAATGTAGAATTATTTCCAATTTTATTCTTCCCAGTACGGCAGTTTGGGTTACTATGAGGAGCATATTTACTTTTTGAGCTTTTTTTGTTTTCTTCTTTCCCCATT